AAGCCTGTTGCGGGGAGTTCTCTCTTGGCAGCCAGACACAACCGAGATTTCTAAGTGGAAACTGAATTCTTCCCCCACCTCCTCCAGTCCTGGCCAGGTTTGTTCCTCTGCAAGTGACCTTTTAAAGGCTTCTCCCTTCAGCCAAAGCAGCGGCAGGAAAATGCCACTTTGAGTATCCAGCATCTACCACGGGAGCAGGTGGCTCCTGACAGCGCTGGAGCATCTCAGCTTGCTGCTGTTTATCTAACCCATAGTTACCAGCTCAGCTGTAGAGCAGGCCGCTGCCTCTGTCCAGCTTCGCCCAGGCTTGCTGTTCCTGAGCTGCTTGGAGCAGATCCCTGGGAGGCCCTTGGGTGTGGAGGAACAGTCTCCAGGCAGAAGCTGGCAGGGAAATTGCTCATTCTCAGCATATCTTCCAGTCTGCACATACCTGCAGCACAGGAGGGAGGCTATGTTAAGCCGCCATCATGGAACAACTGCAGAAGATGAGATTCTGCTCCAGGATGGGGTCTGTGGGGCCTCACTGACTCTCCTGAGTTTATGCTGTTCATCCCACTGAGCCTGACCCTCTTCGCTGCTAAACTGATGGGCCTGGGGTGGTGACCCGTCCTGCTCATAGGGTCTCAGATATCTCTGTATGTCCATAGCATCTTTTGAGTCTTGTCCCCTCTCTAGGCCTCTGAGGAAAAGATTAGGACAACAGAGACACAGGTGCTGGTGGCCTCTGCCCAAAAGAAGCTCCTTGAAGAGCGGCTGAAGCTCATCTCCGAGCTGTGGGATGCTGGAATCAAGGTATGACCAAGTGGTGGCAAAGTCAGGAGCTGCCTGGTCCACTCTGTGCCAGGAATGGACCAGATCTGGCTTTGCTTTGGGTGGAAGGAGTCATAGGGAGAAGATGGGCAACAGACTGCCTTCCTGAATGGAGCCTGCTTCTTCTCAGTGTCCCGAATCGGGTGCTCTCCAGGAAGGGCTGGGCAGCATGACTTAGCCCCGTAGCACTGCAGGGGCTGCTCTGTGTCTGTTACCTCAGGACAGATTCCCAAAGCAGGCGACACTCCAGCCCTTGCTGCGTGGCAGCTTGGATACTGTGCCACTTCCATCAAAAAGCAAAAAAACCTCGGAGCCTTGCAAGGAGGGGAGCGTGGGGCCAGGGAGGAGCCTGGGCTGCTTTCCGCAGGCCGAAGGCAAGCTGTGGGGCCCTGCTCCCTGCCTGCTGCGGGCAGACTCCCTTGATGGCTGAGTGGAGGAGAACGGGTGCTCTGCCAGGCCCCTGACCCTGTAGGGGCACCACAGGTGTCAGCCCTGGTCTGACATGGACTAGAGCTAATGTCCTGGTGCTTTCCCAAGATAAGCAGTGTCTTGTGAGTACCTTTGAGCTGTGTTGCATTATTCGTTAGCTGTAATGCCCAGCCTTCTCCATTAGCCCATCTTCTCCTCCACCACACCCCCCCATGCTCACCAGATGGCAATTAGCAGACTGGCCCAGCAATGCCTGGTTGAGGGGGTGCAGAGAAACAGGCCAGTGCTGATTATGGTGGTTTGCTCTGGTTCTCTTCCAGGCAGAAGTGCTGTACAAGAAGAACCCCAAGCTGCTGAATCAGCTGCAGTACTGTGAGGACACGGGCATCCCTCTTGTTGCCATTGTGGGTGAGCAGGAGCTCAAGGATGGAGTCGTCAAGCTGCGGGTCGTGGCAACCAGGGAGGAGGTGAGGCCCGTGGTAGCTTGGCGTGAGGGGGATTGGCTCCTTGACCCTTCATCCCAGCTCAGGCCAGCCCTCCAGACCCATCCGTGCCCCGCTCTGCAGCGGTGCCCTCAGGTTGTACACGGCAAGGTGGTTTTGCCGGCCCACATTTTGAGTGTAGTGCCCAAAGGGGAGATCAGAGGAGTAAGGCAATTCTACCCGACGTGAAAAGCCTCCAAGGCTTAACAAAGCTGCTTGCGCAGAAGGTGCGGTGAGGGGAAGGCTCTCCACCCGCAGTAGGCAGAGGGGCGCGAGCCGGGGCTGGCAGACTCGAGGTGAGGCCTATGGACTGATGGCGGTGGCCTTGTGGGTGCACTTCTGGAGAATGGGTGAGGTGTGTTTCCTCAGCCCCTCTTGACTTGCTGTGGTGCGTGCGCCCTGGTGTCAGTTTGCCGCCAAGCCCCTTATAACAGGTTTTCAGGATTTTATACATTGGCTTCCTCATTAGCTCCTTTCAAGCAGTGGTCTCGCCAGGGACTCCTGTAACACCTCACGTTCCAGTTCCTCGCCCCATGCAGTTTCCTGGAGCTGTAGAGCACCGTTGTCTCCAGCTCTGGAGAGTTTCCCATCATGTGGCCTCCTTGAACTCCCACCTATTCCTCAGTTCTGGAGCCTGGGACACGGAGGGGTGGTTCAGTGGGCTGTATGGCTGCTCACACTCTCCGTCCAGGGTCCAGGACCATCGCTGAAGGTCCTGGAGGCGTCCTCCTGGAATGAGTGGGACCGCTGCTGATCTATGCACTGGTCTTGGCTTTGGAACCAGTAGGAAAGGGTGGGAGAGAGCATCACTCTCGCGATCGTTGGGCAGGAGAGGGCTCGGCAGGGTTGCAGGCAGGGGCTTGCTCTCGCAGGTTCAGCTCCGCATGGGCTGCAGCCCGCTCGATCCCTGTAGAGGGACTGGCGACAGCACCATGGCGTGATCTCCCGAGAGACAGGGCCACGAATGCCGTGCGGGCCATCCTTTTGGGACCAGAGAAGGTCACGATACATCAAGCTGCTTGTGTTGTATTGAAGCAACTTTGTGCTCCCCCTGTGTAGGTCAACGTTCGCAGGGAGAGCCTGGTTGAGGAGATCAGGATGCGAACGAGCCGGCCTTAAACCCTTCCCGGACACGTCTACTCATTTGTTGGATTCTGGCTGACAGATTTCCTCCTGTAAATGCCTTCGCCAGGCCATGTAGCAGCGGGTGCGGGGTCGGGGGGGGCCTTTGAAAGCTGTATTTATTCTTGTCTTGTGCCCTCCCGTTCCCCGCGGGAGCAGAGAGGCTGCACCGGCTCCTATGACATGCCCTGGCCCTCGAGTGTGTCGCTGGAAAGATGTTTTGCAAGTGGCTCCGGCAAACGCCAGCCGTCCTGTCTGCCGTCGCTGCGGTGACACATGGAGCCCCGTGCTGTCAGCAGACCCCGGGGGTCTTGGCTGCAGCTTCTTGTTCCGTCGCTTTGAATGAACATCCCCTCCCGTCTCCCTGCTCCGGCTGCAGGGAGGTGACCTTATCCTAAGCAAGATGTAAAGGCGCTGCTCCCAGAACCACAATAAATGTGTCTCTCCCACTCCGTGGCTCCCGTCCC